ATAAAATTTCTATAGTCAAAGATGTTACTGTCAATGAAGTACTAAAATTCTTTGTCAAACCGAATTATTCAGCTTTTTTTGAGCTTCAGAATTGTTCATCCATCATAATAGAAATAATGTAAATCTAAAATTGATTGTATTTGAAACTCAGCTCACCAAAAGAAACTTGCACAATAATTGTACACTGTAACATTTTTCTTTGAAAATGAGGTAGCTTTTTATTTTGAGAATGTTTGTGACTATAAAATATCAATTACAATTAAGTGAGAAAAATATTTCATTTCTCATAGAATGTACTAAGGGTAAAAACCCATATCCTAGCTTCTAGGATTTGATTTCCAGCATCTAAAATGGGGAAACTTAAGATATGATATTTTCTGACTACATGTTTCCAGGGTCACTTTCTCCAGAAGAGCAATTTATACTGCATAAATTAGGAGTAATTTGGGTTTAGAATCACCCCAATAAACGGGATGTTTAATATTTCATAGGATCTTTTTCAGTTTTAGCGGGTGTGTTGAGAAAATGCCTACATTCTTCACTGAAGTGGGAGAGCTCCAGTGTCAGAATATTTCTCTCCTTAGAGAGAAATAAGGAAGTACTTTACAAAAGGTAGTTTAGTATGCAGGATAATGAAATGGTAGGAGAAAAAACCTACTCTCCAGGCTTATTTAAGTGCTGCAAACTGAGTTTGTAAGCTGCTCTACTCAGTAATACGTAATATTCTTCTTGCTTAATAATCCTGTACTCTTATCATAGCATTCTTCACACTCCATATCTGAAATACTAGTTGCAGAAAGACAATATAAATAACAAACCGAAGTTAATTCAGGTAGGCTTTCACTTCTAAAATTATACACTACTACACTAAGTCTCTATATGCTAAAATAAGAAGACAAGTCTTAGGAATGAAAAACCCATCTTAGAAATCCCTTCTATTTCAGAAACTATCATTCTTATTTATTCAGAAAACTAAACTATACACTGAACTATAATTGAAATTCTTTAAATTGTATCTACAGTGTAACAAACCTGCAGAAATTCCATATTTTATAAAAACTATGATGAGTTACAACAATTACTATCTACAGAATACTACCTGACAGGGTGTCATTTTAAAAAAGAAAAAAGTTTATACTTACTGTTAGTATGAGCCAGTATTAATTTTCCTCAGATACTTGCTTGCTATTACCGACTCTCTGTGAATTGTTCGCTTTTCTAAGCTCAGGAAGGATGGTCTAGCTGTCTTGCTAAGTCTTAATAGGATAACAAGTTCAAATTTTTTTTTTCCTTTGGACTTACCCACTTCTGTACTGTCAACCCCAGTCAGCAATGATATGCTGTATACACATATCCTTCCAATCACTGAAGCAATAAAGGAGTACTAGTTATTTAACTATTAACAGCTAAAGCAGATAAGAAAAATAACAACTGAACTTACTGGGGCTTTACAAAATGTCAGCTTTGTCTGAAAAGTCTTAATCAGATTACCTAATTAAAATTAAAGATAAAAGAGGGAGCAATGTTGTTTAGAGTCTTGCTCCACTTCTTTTTCTATTTCTGTCTCCTAAGCTCAGAATCTGATTAGTATATTTAATTCCATGAAGCATCATGACTGGTCTACCTTTAATCAGCCTGTGGACATCCACCCCTTTTTCCTTCACATGTTGTAGAATTCAAGAAAATAATTTACCAACTTGGCAATATTCCTACACAAAACATAAGATACAATGTTCATGCTATAGTATCAACACTGGAATGATGTTATTTTTCAGGTCTTTACACATATCCAATATGAAAAATGAGATAAAAGAAGTATGCTTATAGGGACTAGTACAAAGTTTGTAAAAATGTCACAATCCATATTGTACTTAGCTTACATGAGATGTCATTACAACACATGAGCTTACAGCTTGGTTAGTAGTATCAATTTTGCTTTGCGTTTAAAAGCCTCATCTGTTTTTTTCCACTTTATGAAATTACTATTATTTGTAAATTATTAAAAAATTTCAAAAACAGACAAAATACAGAATATTTACAAATTATATACTGAATAGAAGTTAATTCTCAATAGTATACAGACAAATTGGGGGAAAAGGCATCTCCAGAAGTTTCTGCCTTGTACAACTACATGTAATGAGTACTCTTTTTGCTTTGGTACCTTTGTAGAAGCAAGTGAGAAGACAGTGAGATCATTATTACACAGTGTGAACAGAACCTCTCTATTTTTAGTGGTTTAAGGAATACTATTTTCTAAAGTACTGCATTAACTCAGTGGCAAGAAATAGTATGCTTGCAAAGCTGCAGTCTTTTGGATAAGGCAAACAACTCAAATCTTACGGAGGTATTGCCCTGACCATATTCCAGTCAGAACCACTACTCTCTGTTTAATTGTTGCTAAATTCAATTTGGCACTTTTCTAAATTGCTCTAGTTACTACACAACTACAGCATTATGGCACTTTACTTAGATATTTCATATGTAATCTGCAAACACTAACTCTCCTTCAGAAAATTTCTCTGTATAGGTATTTTCAAATTAAAATTCAATCCTACAACCTACAAACAGGTCAGATTAAGCAATAAAAAGCCATGAAAAGTTTCACTTCAAGTAAAAGATCAAAATCACCAAATTAGTTTTCTTAAAAAAGAGGTATTTGTCATCATCTCTGTGAATGGTTCATCTGTTCGGGAGGGAAAAAAGAAAACTTAAAGGCCTGTGGTTTAGCTCTTGAAAATGCATATATATAAAAAATTGTTGCAACACCAGAAGTTATTAGAACTGAAAGATCACTAAAATACTCGTCTCAAACTCAAGAGATTACTGAAGTGTTGTTTTCTTTTTCAAACTAACCTTTATCTGCTTTTTTCATGCAGGAAAACTAAATTTTTCAAATTACTCATTAGCATTGTAATTGTGGATATATATTGTTTATACAGATTCTCAATTAAAAAATAGTCTGACTGTTAACATCAGTATTGGTTATGGGTACTTTCTTCTGAGTTTCATAGTTACAAACCCATCTCTATAGCAACCCACCATAATTTCCTACATGAAAAACTAGTATTAGGATGGGTCTTACACACGTATTTTTAGTTACCTGAGTGTGACAAGTTATTTATCTTTATGCTACCTATATTTGCTCTTCGTTTTATCCTCCCTCTTCCATCTTCTCGTCATTCCTTCCTTGTTCATCTTTCTTAATGTATAATCATCATAGTACTATTTAAAAATGCCTTCCATTGCTTATCTTCCACCACTGTTTGCATACTGTCCAATGTTCTCCTTTAATTGCATGAACACAGTGCAACTTCCTTCTGTCTCACAATTTTTTTAAGATTAATTGCACTGATAACATGCGGTCTTGCTGGTAGCTGTAGTCCATTACAGCTTTTCATACCTCCCCTTCTCTGGAAAACCAATTTTTAAGGGAAGCAGTGTATTGCTTCCTTCTCATTTCCAGATGGCTCAACAGATAACCTGATTTTCTTCATCTGTAGGTATACCTGAAACAAGGGAGAGAATGAAGTAATGTAACGATTTGTCAACTGTTCCAAGTCTGTCAGAAATGCTTCTTGCTTTAAGGTTTGATATGCACTGCCTTAAAAACAAAACAAAAAGCTGCTGAGCATAGTATGACACTGGATGGAAAACAAAGAACTATTAGGGTTTGTAAAACATTTTTACTGATTCCAGTTTGCAGAGAACTTTAAAACAAATTTGACATCATTCACTGATTCAAAAATATTCAAATTCCTCTGGATAAACAAATCACCATAGGATAGCAAGTTAATGTTTACAACTATCATTGTGTTTCTTTCAGGTCATTTTCATTTCTTTTAATATCATTGCAATGACTGCATAATAACAGACTACTGAACCATTACATAATGACATTAATAATAAAACCAGTATACTTTTATAACCTTTCATTTGGAAACAATATTCAAGTTAATATTCTTTTCAATAACAGAATAAATTAAGGCACAAATCTGAACTATAGCATTAAATATACATAAGTAAATATTTTAATTCATACATTGCTTTCCCAGTCTTACAGCCGGGGTTAACATATTTCTTTCAACTGTAGAATTCTTAGTAGCAGTAACAATAACAATCTTGTGTCTCCATTTCCATAAAAGAACTTTGTACATATTTTGAGATATTATGTCTTGTTTAATTAATCTACTTTTCTCCTCCATTACTCTATGGTTCCATTTCTAATTTTCAGAGAATGAAACACTCACTGCCTAGGGTCAATAAGTACATTATTATCTTATAAAAATATCTAACATTCAGGCTTTTGGGGATGGTTCTCCAAAACCTTTTTCATAAACAGAGTATTGTGTTACATGTTTAAATTCAGGCTGATGTACAACTGGGTAAGTGCAGGCCAAACAGACTGGAGGGGTAAATACTCTGCTTGGAGGGCTATTAATATAAAAGACACAAAGCACTACATATTCCCCATTTGAGTATGCTATTAGCTTAAAAATAACCATTGTTGGTAAGACTTTCAGCACTCAATGTTGATTTTTGCGCCGGGCAGAATTTAAATGGAGACAGGAAAAAATGAGAAAGAAACAATTAAGACAAAATAGGAGAATGTAAATACAGAGTTCAAAGGGCAGGCAAGGTCAGACCTCTTTGTAATGCTGGGATTCCTTCCAGTGGGGGACAGGAAATGCCAAATCAAGCATTAAAAGCATAATAACAAAAAGCATAACAATTTGATTCTAAACCAAAAAAGCAGGCTATGCACAGCAACATACCAATTTTACCTATTTCTTGCTTGTTTGCTTGGGATAATCACTGGCTTGTCCATTTCTAACTCAGATCTGAAAAAACCTACAAAGGTTTCCATAGTTCAGCTCAGGAACCAAATGAAAGGCTCAAAAATTCATGTGGTTGCACATTTACTAGATAAACAATTATTCCCAATTTATTACTAAGCATTGACTAGAAGTAGTAATTTAGCACAAAGAAATCAATTATTTGAATTAAAGATTAGCATCCATTCCAATCCAATGTTTTATCAACTGGTGTGCAATAGCGCGACTTGGTGGTACAAAGAAAGAATGCTGGTTTCCTTTAATGAGAACTTCCATGACCTGCAATAAAGACAGATTTTTTCTTCTTTAGAAGATAATATTATAAACTATATGGAATATCATATTGCATTAATGCCGGAATTATCTTACTATGATGACCCATCAGTCTATCGTTACTACAGCTCTTCAAGAGCCACTACCAGATTCTCCAAGACAGATGCAGAGGAAAAAACCACACAGGATTCTTTGTGAATTCTGACAGTTATGGGCTCAAATGTGCCTCAAAGGATACCTTCTTTCTAATACAACTGTGGAGACTGACTGTTAATATATTTAAGCTCTTTGTAAAGCCTTTTCATGGTAAGGACCACCAGATGGTGCTCTACACTGTTCCATGAATTTTTAATTTTTTTTCCACATGTAGCGCAGAAGGAAATGTGTTTTGTTGGTTTTCTGAAGCAGCTGCAAGCAACATGGGAGTACACTTTTAGTTTAGCATATTTCTGAAGTACATTTATTTCCAGTTCTAGGCCAACCTGCATACGACTAGCTGTATTCAGAACTAATGCTCATTTAAAATAATGCTCTCAGTGTTGTCAGGAACATACTCACATTAGGTGATTTAACTTTGCCTTCAAGTTGACTTACAGAGTCCAAACACTTGCAACTGCTAGGCCAAAACATGGTATTATTAAAAGTTTAGCTCATAAGTAGACTGTGGAAAAACCTTTGAAGACTATGTTGTGTAAACAATCTTTCTTTTTTCCACTCACGAACTTAAGTATTTCTGTGAAAGTCTTTTTTTCCTCTCTTTTATTTGACTACACTTTAAATACTCAGGAAAGCTAAGTGTAGAATTTCCTACTAATGTATAGTAAATTGCATTCAATACCAGAGTATTAAAATAGTACTGCATGGAAAAAAGACGTTCAAACTAATGAATTCCCAGAGTTTTTACCTAAACTTCCTCCTTCCCAGCAAATCTTGTAGCATGCTTGTTTGGAGAAACACAGATGATGACTGCTATCAAATCCTACTTCTACCAAAATGAAAAGCACAGGCTTGCTAAGGAAGTGAGTTAAAATAACAATAACTTGGATAACTTCCAAAAGGAAAAGGTGAAGAGCTAACTGGCAAATATGTCATAAAATGGGCTTGCAAGTCACTCAGAAATTACTATGAATATCTGCCTTTCTCTCGTGTGTAATCTACAATTACAATACAATGCAACTGGAGTATGATATAATGGAGATTATACATGCTCATTCAACTTGCAGAAAAAAGTAAGTACCCATTGTACACCAGAACCAATACAGTCACAGACTAATCAATACAAGAAGGAAATTAAATTGAACTTTACCTGTTCTCTAGAGAACCAGCGGGCATCCTCTATTTCATTCTTGTCAACTTTAATTTCTGTAGACACTGCAACAGCTAAGCAGCCAATCATTAGGGAGGAGGGCATTGGCCATGGCTGACAAGAGACATACTGAACATGGCCAACTTTGACTCCAGCTTCTTCTTCTACTTCTCTTCGAACAGCATCTTCTATTGTTTCACCTAATCAAAAGGGGCAAAGAATAAGCACCTGATGAAAATACTCCAAGCAATGGTTACATCCTGTGCTTTGAACTGACTGAAAAGATTTGAAACTGCTCAAGATAATTATCCATAGAGATCTAGTTCACAGATAAGGGCACAGACATTAAGCACAAGATATAGAAGTCTAATAAGGTAAAACTAGCCACCAAAGCAAAATGAAACTTTGAAAATAAAGTATGAAAATTTCTCCATCATAATATTTATTTCCTGAATTTATAATTTATCATACACGTAAACTATTATTACCGTACCTAAAATGTCAAAAATTGGGTAGGAAATACACTGTTCCTTTAATTACTTCTGAAATGCTCATCTGTTCATTTATAAATAACATTGTGTTAATTTTTAGATTTTCAGTATGATTGTAACAGCATGTAATACAACTTGAAAATCAATATTTAAAATTACAGTAGTAAGAAGATAGAGACTTAAGAAGACCTGTACGTATTTCTGCATTTTATCATTCACTTTGCGTGACTCATTCTTCAGTGTTCTAACACATATAGGCAATAGTCCAAACTTAAAAGTGCAATGGAAAGCTTTACTTCCATATTCACAGAAAACTCCTAGATGTGTATGTGGTGTGTTGATGGTCATAGGCTTACATATGCGTACATCTACTGTGCTGTAACTACTGATTACAGGTTCATTAAAGCAGATGGGCAATGCATCAGCGATAGAAGTTTTAGTTCAGCTATGTTCAGTTGATTAGAAGTTGATGGTAATATCAGCTACTCTTTTAATTCAGTTTATATACTTGAATTCAGTATCAGAAAGTAATAAGGCTGGCAGAAGAGAGAAAGGAATGAAGAAATAAACATCCTGACTCTTTTCAAATGATACCTGATATAAACTTATTTATGCTGTCACCGTATTTCAGCTGTACACAGTTACTGACTATAGTTATACACTATAATTTCACTGGTGACTAAGAAGTATTCCCAATATAAGAATGTTTTACTAATTGTTCTGCAGCTACTAATAATTGTAACTAATTGCAACTACTATTGCTGAATACAGCTAGCAAAATGTCTATTTTTCTTTCAAAATGATATAATTTCTGCTTATCTTCCATATAATCAATCAGGCCCTAAACATGTAAGCATATATTTAACTTTATGTTAACTTTAACTTAAGCTTTAACTCTTCCTTTGCCAAGTATCACCAAAGAAAGGACCTTATATGTGTTTTAAAATGTTTTTTCACTTAAATACGTGATTTAAGAATGTATGATGAGAAAAATACTTTAAAATTATACTTATTCAAGTTGCTTTTTGCTTTTTTTATAAATTAGCTGCTGGAAAGTACAGAACAGGCACATGCATTGTAACAACTTACCTAACAGGAAGCAAAAATATTTATTTGACGTAGCACTGAACACATTTCTGTATTATTTTCAATGTACTGATACGTGAGAAAAACCATTTGGTAAGGGAAAATGAAATTACTCACCAGGTTCTACAAATCCAGCAAGACAGGTAAACATTCCTGGGGGAAATCTCTTCTGCCTACCTAAAAGGCAGTGGTTCCCATCTGGATGGATGACTTGCATTATCACAACAGGATCTGTAAGGGACATGAAAGGAATATATTTCAACACTTGAGGGACTTAAAAGCAGTACTAAATTTCAGCCTATTTGATACCAATGCATGTAAATACAAATATGACACCTTTAAGTGAATGAAATCAGAATTGTGTAGATGCCCAGAGCAAGTTGTTACCTATTTCACTTTGGTATTCTTTTTTTCCCTGCAAGGTATCTGTTTCTCTTATTTAGCAACCTACATGCTTAGCAGCAGTTTACTAGCCAAGGCTTGAAATACAGGACATAAATTACCTGCAACCAAAGCACACAATCTCTTAAGAGTATCAGTAATACTAACCTAGCTATGCATCCAGCATATAGCAATAATTTCTGCAGCAAACGTAAGTTACTATCACCTCCTCTGCACACACAAGTCTGTAGAATGTACTTTTGACCGAAATACCAAAGAAGAGCCAGCTACTCTAGTTACAACGTAAATAAACTTTCCACTTTGTTGACTGTTTGCTACTAATCTCATCTGATGTTGCACTTTTATCTACTTTCTCACTGCTAGTTATTTTATGCATCTTTTTCTTTCTTGCTTAATATTTCCTCCTATCGGTACCATTCCTTTTGCCATGCCTTTTTGCACACTGTTCATCTATGATCTTTGCCCCCTTTTTATTGTTATCTAGCTCTTAAGAATCTCAAAGTTTTGTTTTTAATTTTTTCTATCTACCTCTGTCTTTCTGTATTTTTTCTCTTGTTATGCTTTTTCATGAGGTTTTTTTTTGTCCAAAACACTAGTATTTTCTCTGTATGAAAAGGCTTGATTCAGCAACCACTATAAACAATAATTTCAAAGGTTGTTGTCCCATTCAAGTTATCTGCCACATGGCACAGTGTAGAACACGCAATGTTGCTGTCTGTAAACTTTCTTCAGAGAAAGGCATCAGTAGAAAATGCTGATTCATCAGTCTTTCTTATATAATCCCATTCTTTCTCTAACTTTGTTGTGCTACAGATTGTAAAGAAACAGCCATTAGTATTTTAGCAAGCTTCATTACAGTCCATGAGACAGAAGAATACGGCAGAACTACTACGAAGATATACCTAGAGCATGTACGAGAACACGAGATTCAGAAATACAACACATACAAAATCCAGAACTGTAATGGCAGAAAAGACGACAGGGTACGGGAAGGAAAGGTGATCAAAAAATCACCAAATGATCTAAGAAAAAGGGTAAGGTTTTTTTTTCCTTCCTTTTTTCCCCATCAATAACATAGTACACTTCCTTTGCAACACATGAACAAAAGAATCTATAGAAAAATGTCCATATAAGCTTATATTCTGAATAGAAAAAGGCCTGGCAGTTTGCGACTGACAATGAATAATGAAAGCCAGTGAAGATTGCTAAGACAGTTAAAGTGGCACTACAGGAAAATGAGCACTGTATCAGAGATTTTATAAAAGGCCGAATTTGATACAGAGCTTTTTCAAGCTCATATGGCTTGCAGAAAATGATATGCCGAAAATCAAAAAAAAGCAAAATGTGACCTTCCTATTGTTAATATCTCATTTATGTTGTTGGAACTTCTAATTGGTATTACTCCATTGCAATAAAGATTGGTATTGTCACAGCAGTTCTTTGTCACAGACTACTGCAAGAAAGAGAAGCCTGAACTACTTAATCCTAAATACAGCTGACACACACATATTCTGGAGAGAGACAAGTATATAAGACCCGGGACAGAAGCAAGTAGCTGAAATAGCTAAAAAGAAATTGATTTACATGTATATATGATTACAATCAAGCCACTTTTGACCAAGTTTATCCTACAATATTCTCACCAACTCTTGGATATGATGTGTTGTGAACACCTTGCAGACTGGGACAATCTTCTTTTAAGCAAGTTTTCTTGTAACCTCCTTCCTCAATCTTGGTTGCACTCCCACATGTTGGGCAGAATCGGTAGCGGTTGTGCCATGCTAGAACAGATCTAGCCTGTGCTACTACTCCTTTAAAAGAATACATTGAAAATACACAAAATCAAATACTACTTCGTGTAAGCTTTTAACAGTTTAGAAAAAGTAAGTAGTAAAGTTTAACATAAAAATCAAAGTAAGACTATGGCTTGAATTGTAATCTACTACAAGAGAAGATGAACAACATAAGTTATTCAGATCTTTTTCTTTTTAGCACAGTACGTGCAATAGAACGCAGTACTATGTAGCAACAGACCAATTTATGCATTCAGAAACAAATTCATCCAGATCGATATACCCTGTTTCTCACAAAAGTTACTTTGTCTGGCCAAAGTGCCAGAATTATATATTACACTTTTTTTCAGACTACAAATTTAGGACTACTACAGGTATTGACACTATAATGCATTGCTCCATTTAAACTTCAGCTGTAAGTCAAGCTTGCCTTTTATCCTTCTGTAAAAGCAAAATTGATACAACAGCAGTTGTTAACAACATGTCCATAATGACATTCATTCACTTTGGGATCCTGACTTTCCAACGCTTGCTCACACTTTCCTTCTCAGATGAGTTTCCAACACGTTCTTATTAAGCACTTCGTTTCATTTCTTGTAATGAAAACTCAGTAATGACAGATTTTTTCTTTGTTTTAGAGCATTAATGTGCATGCATTAATATTTATAAAACCATGATGATCAATAGATTTTAAAGTCTCATACTTGCCATTGCAGATGTTAGCCCTTTGCAACTGCACAAGTTCTTACATACAAAATTGTTCACAAAAGCACTCACAAGCTTTTAAAACTGATATACTTCTAAAGCCACTGAAATTGCAGTAGTTTGTCCTTGCATTATACCTCAGTGAACTCCAAAGCATATTTTCCTGATTACACATTTGATAACCAATGCATTTTATGCATCTTACCGGCTTCTTTTTCAGGTAGCTGCAGTAGAGCTGGCATTGGTGGGTGAAGAAAGTAACAGTCCTCACGCTTCTGTTTAAATTTCTCAGCAGAAACAGAACCTACGCTAAGAGCAAACCAAGCAACTAACCCATCCTCTTCATCTTCTTGCAGAACTCTTCCATCGCAAGGAGGCAGCAGGTTCACGTGGAACTGAAGTTCAACACCAAGAAAAATCAAGGTGCTTTCTTCACTTTGGTGCTTCTTCAAGCACTGCTCCACATCTTTGTAGTACAGTCTGCAAAGCCTTACTTCTGGCTGATGGGAGCTCCCTATTCCCTCACCCAAAGTAACCAAAGGACTTAGATTTGAGAAGAGGACGTATACTGTAGTTGGATGGCTCTGTTTTTTGCTTAGCCACTTGGAATCTGTTCTTTTATCACTCCTTCTGTCCAGAAGAGTCAAGCCAAAATAATTTTCATATTCTTTCACTTCATTTGGCAGAAAATTAGGCCTCTGCCCACCCTTCACATTGGCCAATAAATTAGCTATGTGCTTGTACCCCCAAAATTTAGCAATGTCCAGAGCCGTCTGCCTTGATTTATTAACGATGGACCTGTCACACCTACAGAAACAGAAAAGAACAGTGGTTACCAGGGTAAATATGTTTAGGAAGAGTCCTGATGCTGTATTATTATTACTTACAGCATATACCTCTGATATTTTTAAGGTGCAAGAACTTTTAGACACTCTGCCTACACTGGGACACTCTAGGCTAAATACTTAGCATTACGGTAATGAAAAGTAATCATACTTCATTTTCTTTTGCTGAGGTTGGATTCCACATTTTTGTTGATCCACTCCAGATTATCACCTACCAAGGTTCACGCAGAACTACAACAGCAATGAATTAATTAAAATCCCACACATTGTATCATGGGAGAAAAAAAAAAAAAAAAGGCCTCAAGATCATTTACAGATGGAACTTCGAAAGCCAAGCTACAGGTCTCTTCTGAATAGCCAGTAATAAAATAAAAAAAAAAAAAAAAAGAGAGAAATTTAACTAGCATTACTTTCTAGAAGCTACCAAAAGCAGCATCAAAACATTTACAATAAAGTATTTACCATTAAATATGAAACAAGAATACAGCCTCTGCTTAGTGACAGAAGTAGCACCCTTACAACTGCGGTGCTGGTCCTTGTAAGGATCTCTTTGTTACCAAAACATCTGCAAAACAACACAGATGAGGAAACACTGCCTCCTGATACATATATTAAAATATTAAGAAAAAAAAACCCAAAATACCTGAAATAGACTGGGGTTGATTGGGAGGTCATAAATAATGCACTTTTATTTTTTGTCAATTTTAACTCAAGTAGATAAGTAAAACAGAAATTTCACTGTAAACTACCCATTATAAAGCAGATGTGGGCCCAGACTCATCAGTTTTTAAAACCAGAAGATTCCAGTACATTCATGTTAATGATACACAGTAACTGTACCACAGGTAAGACTATTTCACTTGAGATTTTATATTAACCTTACTAGTTTTTGAGGGAGTTTGAGAATACTTCAGAAAAGCATTCAAAACTTAATTTACAAGTTGCTGATGCTAAAGAAACTACTGTTGCCCATGAGAGGTGGGTCCATGAGAATTTCATGAAGTTCAAGAAGGCCAAGTGCAAGGTCCTGCACATGAGTCGGTGCAATCCCAAGCACAAACACAGGCTAGGCAGAGAACAGATTGAGAGCAGCCATGAAGAGAAGAACTTGGGTGTCCTGGCTCACAACAAGCTCAACATGACCCAGCAATGTGCACTTGCAGCCCAGAAAACCAACCGTATCCTGGGCTGCATCCAAAGCAGTGTGACCAGCAGGTTGAGGGAGGTGACTCTCCCCCTCTACCCCACTCTGGTGAGACCCCCCCTGCAGTACTGCCTTCAGCTCTGGGGCCCCCAACACAAGAAGGACATGGACCTGTTGGAGTGAGTCCAGAGGAGGGCTACAAAGGTGATCAGAGGGCTGGAGCACCTCTCCTATGAAGCCAGGCTGAGAGAGCTGGGATTGTTCAGCCTGGAGAAGAGAGGGTTTCAGAGAGACCTTACACCAGACTTCCAGTACCCAAAAGAGGCCTACAAGAAAGCTGGGGAGGGACTTTTTACAAGGGTAGGCAGTGACAGGACAAGGGGCAATGGGTTTAAACTGGAAAAGGGAAGATTTAGGTTAGATGTAAGGAAGAAATTCTTCTCTATGAGGGCAGTGAGGCACTGGAACAGGTTGCCCAGAAAAGTTGTGGATGCCCCATCCCTGGAAGTGTCCAAGGTGAGCTTGGACGAGGCTTTGAGCAACCTGGTCTGATGAAAGGTGTCCCTGCCCATGGCAGGGGGGTTGGAATTAGATGATCTTTAGAGTCCCCTCCAACCAAACTATTCTATGGTTCTACAATTTATCTTTAAAGATTAAGTCTCCTTTAGGCAAAAGCTTGCCTAATTTCCTATTTAATTTCCTATCTCTCAGCCCTGAATTTTGTTCTGATTTTGTCTTCTCCCTTCTATCTTCTTCGGTATGTGCAGATTGTGATCAGGCTGCTATTCAGTGCCCACAACAGTGGCCTGAACTCTAGAACACGAAGATCTTTTTTTCCAGTCTACAAACATTACCTGTAGCTTCTCAAACACGGATGAATAAAAAAAAATACTGACTAGCTTTCCAGGATTAGTCTCTTGAACGTTATATAGTATTACCTTCACAGACATTCATGTTTATATATCCAGCAATTTTATTTGTCCAAATTATTATTATGACTAAGCATTAAATAAAATGAGACCAATAAGGCCACAGTATGACCTCAGGAACTGTATTCAATTGCCTAAGAGAATGGTCCTGAAAGGGACATTTGCAAGCAGATATTCACTCTTTTTTTACAGTAAACATAACTTAAAAAACTGTTATCCTATTTACCAAACTGACAAATGCCCCCAAACCTCAAAAGATTCCTCAATACACAAGTGATTACAATCCACAAAATCTGCCACTGAGATATTCCTTTACATGCTAGAACATACTGATCACAGTACAAAACAGTGGTTCATCTGACACTCCATGCTGAGCCTCAGCACAGGGCACACCACAAAAACAAGGTGGGATGATCACTGGATGCTGTGGAATCCTGTGCCTGAAATTACTCATAACTACACAATGAACTAAACTTGCTTGGTTCTGTAATTAGAGTGCAGAAAGTAACTGGGTTTGATAAACGTAGAGCTCAGTTGAACCACAACACCTGACTCTCACTCTTCATTTTGAAACATTTTCCATTGGAAATATCTGGATCCTGACTTTATTCAGGCTTCAGAAGAACCTTCTTTGGGGTCTCAAGGAGAACACAGAAGCATTCTTTGCTTTTCTGAGCACCTTGAAAAACTAGAACTACAACACTTGACTCGGAGACAGACAACAAATATGATAGCAATTTTTTGACAAGCCATGAACATGCTCGGTGTCATATTGATTGAAGAAAATAACGTGACAGCTCACAGAGGAAGGAGGAAGTGAATTGTCCAAAAAATAAGAGACGAATTAAATTCATCAATCTGTAACTTTGGCAAAGGTGTGTTTGTTACATCCTACTTAACAGTCAGTATGCCAGCAAACATTCTGCGTTGTAACGAAGACGCAAGTGGATCATAAACAAAGTTTAGAGAAAAAGTCTAAGTGGAACAACCAAATATGCCAAATTTATACTCAGTATAGTGGTCAGAATGTGATACAAACTTTATCCTACTATGTTGGTCTCTGGAAGGAGTGATAATATATCCTTGAAGATCAACTAAATAATTTTAGAGATGCTCCTAACTTTTTTTAAAGAGTTTCTCAGCAAATATGGAAAGTATGATGCAATAGCAGAATCCAGTTATAAAAAGACATAGAGTATATTTTCCGAGTTTTAACCCTGAAAATGCTGCCACTATCTTTCAGGTAAATTTACTTCTCTGAGATTAAGCTGAAATAGGCAGAAAGGGATTCAGGTTAGAGCTCTTCAATGGGATCTACTAAACAGCTTACCCTTCTTCAAGCAGAATCCGCACAACCTCAAGGTGTCCATTTCTGGCACCATACATCAGGGCTGTCCAGCCATTATCTGCAGCTGCATTGGTAAGTGACGGAGAATGACGGAGCAACGCTTTCAGCTTGGCTGCATCTCCAACAGCAGCAAAATTATGCAGCTGAGAAATCAGGTCCTGACGAAGGTTCTTTTCAAAGTCTGCCATTGTGTCAACTAAGTTAAAAAAAGAAAACAAAAATGCCTGAAAACACATCCACTATTAGTAAAGGGATTTAAGTAAAAGAATTAATGCCATACAGATAACCAACCTCACCAAAAGTATGGACACAACAGTGAAACTCTTGTAATTAGTATGACACTGTTATTCCCAATCAAATCTTAGTCCCACACATCTCCAAATACAGTGAAATTTTATCCTAATAATCAAGACTAGTTTTAAAGAGGCTTAAAGACAGAACGATTTTGCTGTGAAAACAAAGTTTCTTTGAGCGGGAAAAACACTGTTTTGGTTTCTGGTTTCCCGACCGCACACACACAAGACACAACACTACAAAACTCCACTCCAAGAAACGAGTCTCAGATGCCTTGGAAACAATGACAAACAACCGCAAGACGGCAAGTCCCTCTGCAGGCTGAGGGACTGCTCCAAGCAGCGACAGACTTTTCCGCAGCACCCCCCCCCCCCCTGCCGGCGGCCGCCCACCACTCCGCCCCGGGCCGGGACCGCTGCTGGCACCCAGCACCCGCGCAAAACAACGAAAGCTCATATTCCGCCCTGCCCGCTTCACGACCATCTCCCACAGACACACACAAACGCACACCATTTTCTCCACCGGACCCAAAACA